CACCAGGGGGAGCAAGCACAGCGCCTGCACACCACGCTGGCACAGAGACTTTCAGAGAGCATCACCCTGTACAAACAGGACGAGCTACAGCCTGATGTCTGGCAGACGCTGGGGGGAGAGAAAGACGACTTCTTCATCTATGACCGGTGTGTTACCTTTAGTGGAAAGTTCTCTTGATTCATTTTAAACTTTATAATCTCCATCCAGATTTAACCTCACCCTGTTTTCCTATCATCAGGTGTGGGCGTCTCACCCACCACATTTCCCTCCCATACTCCATCATTGGACAAGGTCATGTCGAGGGTGCGATCAAAGACGCCTACTGCAAACGCATGTGTGGGGACTGCACACATGAGGTAGATCATAACTGCATGAATATACACTGATTCAAACAGTGTCATCAGATAATTCGTTTGTAACACATTAAATCAAACATGGGCTCTGCTTCAGTTCTCCTCTCTTTATGTTTATACAGAGTGCTGAGATTCCAGAGGAGTGCAAAGGGAAAGCAGATGCACAGCCTGACGCAGTTGCTGCCCCAGCTGTGGAGGAAGACACAGGACATGGTCATGGGCACGGTCACCATCATGGACATCCCCATGGTCATGACCATGCCCACCATGGGGATAATCATGGGTTTCACCCCCGTGGCTTTGGCCATGGTGATGGTCAACACCATGGTCATCACCATGGTAATCACCATGGTAATCATGATAACCATGACCATGGACAAAGCCAAACTCATCAAGATCTTAGGCCACAGGGGCAACAACAGAACGGTCAGGTGTTTCAAAGGCAGCAGCATGCTGAGTTAGGCCAGATGCAGCAAGCAGTGCATATGCTCCAGATGCGACAGGAGGCCCATGCAGCCCCTGTGATGCCCTGAGTACCAAAAAAGTTGAGCTGAAAATCAAAGCACAGCTGACAGTGGACAGCAGGCTCTGACAACGAGGCCTCTCCTAAGGTCAGCTGATGCTGACACTGACGCAGGCTGTTTGGCGAAGCAGGGAGCGAGGAGCCCGTCGGTCTCTGACACTGTGATGAGGCGCTGCCTGCCACCTGACAGTGACACGGACTGATAGGCGATGCAGCCAATAATGTTAGGGAGACCTGACAGTGACGCTCGCATCCTGCTGACTGACAGCAGCCTCAGCCAGCCCAGTGACCATGACCCCCAGGTGTAGTGAGCTGAGGATGAGAGCAGCTGTAAGCTGACTCTGAAATCAGCCAGTCATATTAACATCTGCTAACAACACCAGGGTCAGGTGCACTTCTTACCAACAAGTATTACCCTGAGAAAGGGCGGGGCCGTTCCTGACAGCCTAGATGTGTGATAGAAGTAGTCCAACATCACAATGAAAGATAAACACATGCCTTAAAAACATGCGGTGTGTTTCACCTGTCTCAGCATGTCTGTCAGTGTGTCGCTCCCGTTTGTTCTCAGGAGTATAGGTGGTTGTCATATTTGTAAGTTGCCTTTTCCATTTTGCTCTCTCCGTCCTTAATGAAACCAGGCGCAGAAACTACGCTCTAGTGGCGTCTGTATGAAGTCCGGCAGGAGAGAGAGGAGAGGGTGGTTTAGGAACATGATAAGCACACAAAATATTTTATAATTAAGTATGAGAGGATGTTTGAAGAAACAGAGAAATGTGATAGAATCTGTAAACACAACAAAAATGAACGAGTAAGAGGAAATAAGAGAAGATGCTATCACAGTAAAAACATCTTATTATGAGACTAAATCTGTAGTTAATTGGAGAAACCTGAAAGCACAAAACATGTAAAAGCAAACCTAATAAACTTCACGCCAGCAGCATGTTTATCTGCAGGTTTTTGAGCACATATAACCACTTGTTTTTGTTTTGCTGAGTTCACAAACTTGATTACACTAGTGTATCTCTTTTCCACTTTCAACATTCACATTTTTAAAATGACTGTTTGGCATTTCTGTACATTTTATTTTTGCATTTACTAGACATTTAGTAGGCTGCAAATTGCTCATTTATACAAAGCTTGTTTAAAAAATAATAAAAATACAAAACTCTATTGTTTGGGAAAAGATGAGTGAGAGAGTGAGGTGATGAATGAATGTTAAAATACAGTCTGTACTTAATGACGGTTTCTGCGGGAAGGTCACGATCACCCTAAAACCTGATGCCTGCACAGAGAACTGTATTGCACTAATGTCGTCACAAATGAAAAATGAAAGTGGAATAAAGATGGTTGAGTTGCAGCTTTGGTTTATGTGTGTGTTCTTTCCAAAGTGAAAACAGCAGTTGAGAGTGATTAGTATATTTAAGAAGAGTTAGAAGAACTGTGGGGTTGCCATGTGGGGGGAGCTGATCTTGGTGGGATATGACAACTATCCTCCATATGCATATGAGATGTTAAACACATGAATCAAACAAAGCATGGGGATCATGTTACCCCCCCAAACCTTGTACGATTACATTTTTCATAGAAGCATGTAGCATCAAAGTCTGATGACATACCAGTAATGCAGAGCTGATGTCCCTTTATTGTGTTGTGTATGTAAAACAATGTTTTCCCTTGTGATATATAGAAGATTTATGTGAAGGGTGCAGTTCTAACTATTGCTACTATTTGTCAGCAGGTGGTGTTGAAGGTCTACAAAACAAACCAGCACCACACTCAGCTGTTGATATACTTGTCTTCTCACTCACCCTTTGCAGGTTTAACACAGGTTTGACAACTCCACTAGAATAAAAAACCTCTCCAGCTCAAACGATTGACTAGTTTATTTGTGATGCATTTTCAATAATCATGTGAAAGATGATACAAATTTTTCTATGATTTTACTACACTTATTTATCATGTACATGAGTGATACATCCTGTATATGGTCATAAGGAAGCTTGCAATATTTGCAAGATTTCCAGAGGATGAAAGTGGGGGCAGCACAGTGGTCGCTTCACAGCAAGAAGATTCAGAATCACGGCCTCGGTCAGGGTCTTTCTGAGTGTTTGCATGTTTTCCCTGAGTCTTTAAACTCCAGCTTCATCCCACAGTCCAAAGACATGCAGACTGGGGTTAGGTGAATTGGAGAAATTGACAGGAGGTGTGAATGGTCGTTTGTCTCTGTGTGTTGGCCATATGATGGACTGGCGACCCTTCCAGAGTGAACCCTGCCTCTCACCCAATGTCAGCTGAGATTGGCCCCAGCCCCCAACGACCCTCAGAGGATAAGCAGTATAGATGATGGATGGATGAAAGCGGGTTCCCTTCACGCATAGTGAGACTACTTATAATGAAGAAATTCCCATCCCATTCAGTCAATTAAGGTTTTGCATATTTGGATTCATCAACTACATAGGTGGTTCATGACACATGCACCCAACACCCTCTTCACCCAGAGTTCTATTCCCCGAGAAGCTGTACAGCAACTGGCTATTACACACATATTTCAACAACAATAAAATGATTTTTAGTGTTTAGTGCAATTTTAAAGTCTTATTCATTTTCTGGAATGTGTGTACTGGTGTTGAGACTACTACCCACAGGAAGTGCATCCTAAACCTCATGTTTCTGTGCCAACACTTACATAATGATGTCAACATCCAGCTCAGAACCTGTGAAATTGTGTCCAGGACCTAAAGTTTAACACCCTTGGTTTGGTGTCATGTATCCGAATCGCCTGTCAGACTGTGTGTCTGAAAAGGTCAACAAGCAACCGGAGGTAATAAATGAGACAGAGTCGGCCTGCGTGTGTGGGCGTAATTGGGCTGAAGATCCAATACAGGGGAACAGTGACTTATGGGTAATTACCTGCAATGTCCTGAGACGAAGAGCTGTGAGTGGCTGTCTCTCTGATTCAATCAGCCCCACACAGAGCAGCGCAGTACACAGCCTCTGTCTTAATTGTCCGATATGCTTTCCCCCTGATGCACAACTGTTTCTGCAGCCGCTTCCTCTCCACTTACTCTGGCAGCAAGAGAGAGAGAGAGTGGGAGAGAGAAAGAGAGAGAGAGAATCACACACTTGTGAACTCATTCACACACACACACAAAGTGCCTCTGTGTTGCTCACAAGCAAGTATGTATTCTTCACTCTGCAACCAGCACAAATACACACAATTCATTTTCCTCTCTCAGACACACGCACACACAAATCCATTTGCATTCAAACTCTCAGACCACAGTAGCCTGTATATATTCTTAATTACCATCCTTTTCCGTCCCTGAGTGCTGATCTGAGCTGACCTTTACTGTGCAGCTTGTTTCTCATGTGCTCCTAATGGCAGTGTGTTTCGTCTAGTGGACATAGTTGGGAAAAATACATTTTTAAATTAAATCAATGCTAGAATGCTACTCTGAATCACCCGTCTGTTAGTTTGTTTTATTACCTCGAAAGTTGGTGGAAGGATGGATCAGCGAAGAACCCATTCAGTGGATCCAGATCTTTAACACTGGGATATAGGGCTTTATTCTGACAACAAGAATCAGGCAAGAATCATGGACCTGATTTCAATTGTTGTGTAAAACTCACTCTTTGATATCAGTTCACCAAATGTTCCTGATTTCTTTCATCAAGATTCATCAATTATTGTCTGGAAAAATGAGAAAATGTTGAAAAACACCCTAATCTTGCAATTTTAAAGAAAGTGAAAAAAAAATCCTGGGTCCACCCCCTGATCTGGATCTGAACCAAAATTGAATCGGTTCTTCCTTGACCCACATTGCATCCTTGAACTAACTTTCATGGAAATCCCTTTGGTTGTATTGAACTTTTGGCAAGAACGAACCAACCAAAAACAAACAGACGGGTGAAAACATAACCTGATTAGCAGAGTTAACACACACTCTTTTTTCCACACAGAATAATACTGTGGATATAAGTCTGACTATGTGAGACTATAGATATTTTGTTAGAATATTTGTCCAATTTATACTTTGGAAACTACAATTAACTATTAAAAACAGGTTTTATTTTTGAAATCATCTAATGACAAAGAAATAATGCACAAGATAATTAAAGTTGCAGTATGTACATTTATTGAGTTACTTTTTGAGAGCTTATCGATCACACATACAACACCAGAAAGGCTCAACTGGTAAGAGAACAATATCAAATAATCAACGTTCAACACTCTGCCTCGAGTAAAACAACAGCGAACAGACAAGGACAGTGGCTCCAAGGTCAGGAGGGCAAAAAAATATAGTGAAGTCATAATCAATTAGTCAGGCCAATGCAAACTGATGTTTTAACACTGGAGAACGCAATGCAGCTGTCCTCAATTCTGACATGTGGGATATTTCTGGTGCCGTGAGCCTGAACAACACACCTCAGAGAATAACAGCACATGTGAGTCATGCTGCCTGTCCACTGCAGGTAGTAGGGTGATGGGAGGGCTCTGAGCAAACAAATAAATAAAACACGATCAGAAATAAAGATCGGAGCCACTGAACTTATTCATTAAAAAAAAAGCATATATACTACAGAGAATCCAACTGTTTATCTGGCATGAGTCTCTTTTATTTTGACATAAAGATTAAAAACCAGCACAGATTCCAGCGCTCATGATAATTTCAAGGCTAAGCATGGTGACAAAAGCCACCCTTCAACCGACACAAAAAAACATGGTCAGGACAAATCATTATAAAACACTTCAGCCCCATTTAAATGCACTTTTATCATGAAAATGCTGAAATCACATAGCGGGAGACGTGCGACAAAGGTAGAGTTACAGTAGAACAATTTTCTCTCAAAGACTATCTGCTCTATCATCTATCCAAAAATCTTTTAGCAAATATTAAATACTCCATTACAGTACATCACCCTAACAATCTAGTAGTGTAAAAAAAAATCCTATGAACATAAACTCTGTTGAACAAAACTTAACTCTACCGATACTGAAGGGTCCTCAAAATCAGATTATTGTGCTGAAAGAAAAAAAATATATATATAACTCTGCTTGTAATAACATGTAATTCATAGACTCGATATTGTCCGATATACAAAATCTGAATACTATTTTAAAAGATCAGACATACACTGTATGTGTACAAAGTGCTTGCTCTAAAGTTTGTTGTAACATTTATAAGCTTGAAATAACCATTGCAAACTTTTACACTACATTAAGAATTAGCTCATTGTGAACTGGTAATGGCAACAAAAATGAAAAAAGATGCAGACACAATGCAGTAAACACCTGTAATAAAAAGCACCACCGCTCCTCCTTATTTTTATAACGTTTCCTCATTATCATAATTGCATCACTTCTTCCAGTTTGCACACATTCACAATCACCAGGGTACATCTGGAAAAAGAAAACAATAAAAGCTTAGCAGTACTTTTTCTATTGTCTGATCTTCCTTCATATAAACAGAAAGCCTTCTGGGGATCTTTGGATGGGAATGGTGGGAGTCGGATGAGCATCGTGTGGGAAAAAAACTGTCTGATTGTTGCTGTAACACATTTCCAGAAATCAGTATCATCCATTTGGCAGGTTTTTCATCACCTCAGCATTTAAAGTGTTAGATGACACCCTCCTACCAGAGTAAGGCTTTATGCAGGAAAAGGTTCATGTACCGAGCAGCAACATGTTGTGATTAGAAACATTAATGACGTTTTAAAAATATATACCTGTAATTTTACAGCACTAGTAAATATATTAAGACATTTCTGCAACAGCATTGACTTGCTGGTATCATCAGCACTAAAGGCAGCAACAACAGAACACTGAGCTCTTCAAATAAAAAAAGGAGAGGTATAGAGAAGAGAGAAATGGCAAGTTTATTATATTCACATTTTCTTTATTGTCATTCTATGGCTCTTGCTTTGTCTCTCAACATTATGGGATTGTCTGATACAAAATAGACCGTTTCTATGTGAGTCCCTGGCCTGCTTATCAAAAGGATAATTCAAAGGCAGGATATGGTTTTTTTTTCTTTTCACTGCGAAGTATGTTTTGTTTATAATGAGATGTGTTCATCTCTGACTCATTCGCAAATGAAAGTTCATTGTGTCGCAACACAACATGCATATGGCCCAACCTTTACTAATGTAGCTTATTGTGTACAGTGTGCTATGCTGCTGTGTGTGTCACAGGCATATTGTCAATGTCTATAATTCAAAGAATGAAAACATACAAAGCCACACAGCCAAACACTGTTGACGAACCAAGAGCAAGCTCAGTGACTAGGAGACAGATTCTGCCAAAACGATACCCTAAACATGTTTATTATAAGAATATCATAAGGTTAAAATAACTATAAATCCATACATGTGCCGAATTAAATCTACTTTTTTGTTTTCACTCTATCATACCAGAACCTGGATCTCAGCCCTTCTGGCCCTGATCAGCATTTTCGTTTGGAAATAGTGGTCAGTTTTACAAGAGTAACATGCAAATTACAGTTGAATGGCCTCAGACAATCAACATCCTCACAACTATTTTCTTAGACTATTTTTAGATCATAATGCTAATGCCTATGTCAGGAAGGCAAAATTAAATCAGTCAATTAAGGCAAATATTTATTATGTAGCTGTGTGTGTTTGTGTGTGTGTGTGTGTGTGTGCATGCATGTTACTGCGTAAGTGCATGTGCATGCTTTTCGTAGTCAATCTATGCAGAGAGGCTTCACCTACATAGCAGTACATATACAGAATATACTGTAGCAATGCATAAGTGCACAAATCCCAATGACATCTGCATGCCTCAGCACACGTATAAGGCAAGCCAATAACACTATCACAGCACATGTGGTTAACACGGTGTACTTGGCAGTAAATAAGTATAAAATGTTAGCTAATTACAGCTTTTACACACTTTCACAGTCTCTCAACTTGCTCCAGTCACTGTCCCTGCAATAACGATGCAACATGAGAGGAGTAAATCTCTCAAGTTGAAAGCTTAGACTCTAAGGTATCATGTTTAAAGTGATGGATTGTGAGGGAGTGAGTGCTGCTTGAAAAAGTGAGACTTGATTGCTGTTGCTGTCTGGTGTAATGCAGTATTTATTTTTCTCCCAAACCACCAGGTGTTCCCTTGTGGAAAAATAACATGCCCTTAAGCAAGGCACTTGGTGGTAGTACGGCACTATTTGTACTGAGCGGCTCCCAGCTGTGACTGAATCTAAGTAGACCATTCCACATACTATAAGAAATGTTGATGAGTACTGTAAGTGATGTATGTTCACAGTACAGTGTGCATGTCAAAATAAAATGAAAGAATATAAACTCCATGTTGGGGACATGTATAATCAGACTGTTATATATTATCAATGCATTTCCGGAATCAGTTTGTGCTAAAATGTTGTCATTTCCCTTTTATTTGTCACCTCACTTGCTAATCCACTTCCCAGAATGCCTTTCAACACCCCCCAAGGAAGGAAAGCAGTTTAACAGCAATACTAAAAGTGTTTTGTTTGTTGTAAATTTGTAGTGTATAGCTGCTTTCAGACACACACTGAACTCCAGACACTCTAGGGAGAGGCTGTGTGTGAGAACGCAAATGTCAGAGTGAGAGCCTCCAGACTTTCTTCAGCCAGCCCCCCCAAGTATAAAGTCTGCAGACTGTAGCAGGAAATCTTACACAGGATTCACCGCGAGCGAGTGGGAGTGAACAAGATGTTTCCAACATGCAAAAATTAAAAAAAAACTAAAAGAAAACAAATATCTTCAGATGAAAAATCTATGCCACACACGTAGAAGACTTACACCAAGATGTTAAGAGAGTTTCTGGCAATTAGGACTGAAGCTGGTATAGATGTAAACAAAAACATGTGATCGCCGCAGCGGAATTTATATGTTACGTCCTTCACCTGAACACTCACATTTCTGTGTTGTCCTGAACGCATCCGAGCAAAGAAAGTACGGAACCAATCCTGTGGACATCCTTTCGGAGTTTAAGTCTGAAAACGTCCTATGTTTGGCAATTTATTCATTAAAATTTAACCATCATACCACGAAACAAAATGAAGCCAAGAATGTAAGGTAAAACTGCATAGATGTGTTTGGAACTGTATTTAGGGGCCGATTCTTGCTTTATCTTTTCGTATAAAAATATATATTTCTAGCTAAGTGCTTTTAAGATGACAAGATGAAATAAGAAATTTAAGAATACAAAATAAGCCATGATTTGAACATCTCCACCAGCAAGAGGTATCAACGACAGCAATGACTTCTTCATGGTGTTGGGGGGTGAAACGCATGACGAGAGTGTGCTTCTCTTCTCCCAGTCAATCATACACTGACATGTCTCAGCAAGATTAAGACTTCAGTAATGTCATTGCTCCAAACACAATTAGCCAGAGGATGCAATGAGACTGGAGTGAAGTGAGCTAATACTTTTTTTGGACTCATTACAGCCACAGGGTTTTTCTAACACGTACGTTCGGTCACCTCCATATCACATTAACTGACGAGGCAGAGTCAACAACTCGTAGCTCATGTCTCCCTTTCAGTACCCTCTGAAAACAAACACCTTTAAAGGCTCATCACACTGTGTGCTACAGGTTTTTTGGTTTCCAGCAGGAATTAGGTCGAAACAGGCTTTTGTGAATATGGGGGACTTCCTAGTTAATCAACCTTGCACCCTTAGGTCCAATCACATTGTCATTTCATGGTGAGAGGTTCCCCAGCAGGTCTGGGGTTATGTACCCTACAGGCATAGCAGGTAGGGTCTTGAGTTGGTGCTGTGGCAGGCAGGGAGGGGGAGACTGACGGGGAGGTGGGTTGAGGAGCAGACTGTGCTGAGTGTCCACCTCCTGCACCACTGTATAGTCTGAAACAGGAGCACTGAACTGGGACTGGGGAGAGTCAGGAACAATATAAGATGATTGGTTATCTTCTACTGGGGCTGCAGGTTTGGTCTCCACTGCCTGCGGGTGTATGGTTTGGTACCCCTCACCGGACATGCGGGAGCAAGGGGGAGTGCTGATTTGCCGGGCAGTGCTCTCTGCGGTGTAGCCACTTCCCTCGGGATCCACGACCAGCAGGTGAAACTGCAGCTCTTTTTGCTTCTTCTCCGCGGTCCCCTCGTTGTCTTCGCCCTCTTTCCCTTTCTTCAGTGTTTCCTCCTCAGTGGCTGAGGTGCTCTCCTGGATGCGGAGTTGCTGGCCAGGAGACAGCACCACGCCTCCAGAGGGCATGACGTTGCTGACCTGGGCGTAGAAGTCTGTGTTGACCCAAGTCTGGGGTCCTGTGGTTTGGGTTTGGATGAGGGTCCTCTCTGAGGTTGAGACTCCTTCTTCAACAGCGAGGGAGTCCACTTCAACAGCGAGGGAGGCTTCTTCATCCTCTGGTTGGCCTGGCAACAGAGTGGCCATCATCATTAGGGTGTCATGGTCGAGAACATCTGGGTCGTAACAGCTGGCCCTGCCTGAGTCATCATCAGGGAAGCTGATGCAGAGGGAAACAGAGGGAAAAATGGATGAAATTCATAATGCAAAGACATTTGTTTTCGTGAAACCACAGCCTTCACATAAGAATCTTTGCAGTACCCAATGGTGTTGGAGCATCCACTGTTCATGTGGTGGCTGACATGTTGGGGCAGGCCAAGGAGCCTCTGGGTGTCTGAGCCCTGGTTGTCCTCCTTCTCCCCAGCATCTGCATCCTCAGCATTCACGTCGATGAACTCAACCCATGGCTCATCTTGGTAGAAATCTGGTGCATAGGTGGACAGGCCACCCATACCTCCACCACTCAGGATCAAATTCAGGTCGTCCAGCCTCCCCTTCTGCAAATGCACAAATTTGTACAAATATCAGGCGTGTGTCGTGATCAGGAAGCAAAACAGATCTTTTTGTATTCGCTGCACAGTATCAGCTGCAAATCAATCATTGTGTTTCCACCTTTGTCTAATTATGAAATAGCAGCATTTTCATTTCATTATTCATACAAGCACTTTTTGTTCTGAGGTCCAGGGCTGTCTTATAAATGCATCCCACAGCACAATGCTGAACCACGACCCTCTTCACGTGTTATTATCCCTCAGTGGTCCTCCTGTCCTTGTTGACTTAAAAAAAACAAAAAAAAGTGTGTGCTTTGCTTTCAAATTGTTTATGGACATTTTTTTCTTTTTATTTCATTGTTGACGAGCAGCGGTTGGAAGAGGGACGGTGGGTGTGGGTGGGATGATTGCGTGGCCTAATGTTCCACGTGGATGTCCAGGGTTGTCTGTTTTCAATCAAGATTACATTGTAAAGGGAATCAAAAAAACAGTGGTTACACAACACTTTCTGAATAAGCAAGCCACAGTTCCACATGTTAACTGCTGTGAATTATTGATGTTTACAATTTAGCCCTTTAAGCACATGCAGTACAAGAAAATACTCTCACAGTGTATTTTAGATAATTGAAATTATATCATTACAATATAGAAGCTAATATTTGTTTTCTCACAAAAGGTTAATCCATTAAAATGATTTATTAACATGATTGGAGAAATATTTTACAGCTGAAAAAACAAATCTGACAGATAAATCATGAATGCATGACCTTTTTTTTCAAATTACCTTAAATATATGGCATATTCACTACTACAATTTCTTCTCTTGACGACATAGAAAGCAGAAACTATATATCTGTGACACGAAAGCTGCAAACAGCCATGATACTCTATCACTGGAGTCTATTATTTTGTTCATATAAAAAAAAGAAAGAAAAGAAGCCAAGGCAAAATAACAGAGGAGAAATAAATGTACCTTCAACAGCTCTGGATCAATGCCTTTAATTTTGGGTGCAGGAACTGGTGGTAAAATAATTATCATGAATCTGTAAAGGCAGCAAGATGAGAAAACATGATGAAGATAATCTGTTTATCATATTTGTCAGCGTGCGTGTGTGTGTATGTGTATGTGTGTGTGTGTGTGTGTGTGTGTCCTTGCAGAGAAGTGCGCTGCAAAATCTGCTGCTGATTTAGCAAACATTTCACATGTTATCACTGCCATCATGCTTCAGCAGGTCCAGTGTGTTTTGGACAGTGTTGGTTGAATGTGTATAAAAGAGAGAGAGTGTAACTGTTCCTACCTGTGCTGCTGAGAGATGACAATCAGCATGATGAGTATGAGGATGCCCACGATCCCGAAAACAAGAACAACTGTGAGCGGGAACGTACTCTCTAAAAAAGAACATAAAACAGATTCCATCATCACACCTACACAGTTCCAGGTGGATGCAAACTGTCAGATTTATTCCTGACATCTGACCAACAGATTTAACATTCCACCCTTGAGTCAAGTTGACTTTACCTCCACTGAGAATCTCAGTCACGTGAATGAAGATAGAGTCACTAAAGTCTCCAAACTTAGTGAAGGCCTGCATCCTGCAGCTGATCTGCACTTCATACTGTTTGCCTATGTGCAGACCGTAGATTCCCTGGTGAGTGTGCGGCTGAGTTGCCAACTGCAATATAGAAACACACCGGAGAGAATGAAAACAGAGAATAGAGAGAGAATAAAGTGATTTTGCAATGTTTTGATTGATTAGAAAACAGCTGAAGCTAAACTAAGCTGAACAAGGTGTTAAGATGTTTATAACTGTTGCCTTTCCATAGGCACGATTGTTATTTTGTCATTTTGGATACATTAGGCCAAGGACTGTTATAATGGAAGGTTCTAGAATAGTTTCCAAGGCTGCATTCATCAGACGATTGGCCACACGGTAATGAATAGGAGCCTGCACAAGGTCCCATGGCCTCTGACCTACAGATCCCTCCCTTCACTTCCTTCAGAGAGGCTGTGATTTCCCAGAGGACCTTGCTCTGGCTTCCATCGCCTTGCCAACAAAGCTACACTGCATTTTAGCCATGAGACTCCTTGGGGGAGGGGGAAGGAAACACGACACTGTGCCACTATGACCTACCTACAATTTACTTTTAAGAGCGTGCATACGTGTTTGCGTTGGTGTGAGCTTATGTGTATGCACAGAGACATTTTTGTTAAGTTTTAAGGTGTGTGTTTACATGCTCACGTACCAGTGTCTGCCTCAAGGCAAAGGAAGGAAGAGAGAGAGAGAGAGTTTAAGAGCAATTATAAAGAGAGAACACTCACTGATTTCCAGTTTGTGGCATTTCTCTCTCTGTACTGGATTTTATACTCAAGGCGCATCCAGCCCGCCGCGACGTCTGCAGAGGGCGGGGGCTCCCAGTTGACCATGACATCATAACTTAGCCCAGAGGGACTTATGTTCAGGAGGGTCCAGTTTAGAGACACTGGTGGGTCTGGACGTACTGCCGGGAAAAGGGTAAAAGTTCAATGTGAACGGAAGGAAAACAAAAACAAGCTATTAATACCACTCAACATGGCAAATACATCAATGGCTGAACAAATAAAGAATTATAGTTAGATAAAGACAACACTTGTTATTATGTATTAAATATATAATGTGAAAATGGGCTTTGCTAGTACTCACTATAGTGTTAGCCCTATGTTTCCTTGATGGTAGTGCAAGATTTAGAAGGAATTAAATAGAGCTTCTCATATGGTGACCAATAAAAACATAAGCAAACTTCCAGGAGAAGCCACCAACAGCTGAAGAGATATTTTCTCTGGACAGCCTACAGAGCCAATGATTCATGTCATTCTTTATTCTATGTGTACTGAGGACAACAACCATATGTTATCTATACAACAACATGCTGACACTCAATTTCAACACATTTTCCAGGGAAGAAATATCAGCAAACACATGACATTAACATGTGATAATACAGCGTCTATCATTATCTTCTACAGTCCTGATTAGATAAATACCATCAGACATCAAAACATTTAGCGTGTAACCACTGTGTATTTAACACCTGCTGTGATGCTGACAAGCATGTGACATTTGCTGATTTGATATACAGCAGCAAATACCGTTTCCTGGAAACTTGTAGAGGTGATCTATCATGCTATACCATGCTTCACACTCTTAAAACCACTGGAAATATAGTGAAGAAGTCCTAGTTCATTGGATCAGGATATGCACAAATGCTGATAACTTACCAATATTTTCCACTGTGAAACAATCGTCCTCATTAATAAAGGTGGCGTTTTGGCTGCGCAGCTGCATGCAGTAGGGGATCCAAATAGATGTGTGGTTCACGTCGAAGAAACATTCCCTGTTTGAATAGTTATAATGGGGACACTCTTTCCATTCGCTGGTTGGAAAGCTGAAGGAGGGATAAAGTTCAACAATGGAAAACTTGTCAATTAGCAATTGGAAAAGAGTCAAATCTTTTTTTAGCAGGTTTACCACATTTGAAAAGCCTGCATGCACATACTGCGCTAACTTTCCAGTTAAATGGTACCACACAGACTTATCCAACTGAAGTAGGCAGCTGGTGAGGTACTCACTCTTTCTTCAGGTAGAAGACTCGGAGTACTCCAGGGGAGGACAGGTTCTGGAAGGTGCCTGGACTCCACCAACAGCGAAATGTCTCCTGCTCCCTGGAGATGCATTCAGTGAAATGAGGCTCAGTGGGAGCTAAAAGACAAAGAAAGACACAGAAAGGTAAGAGACAGAGTTAACAACGCAGACTGCATTAAGCTGTAGAAACACCTCTGTAAAGATTTAGATTATTTAGATAATGAATACAGCAAAATCACACCTCCATAACTACTCTTTCTTGAACTATTTATGCTGCTAGTGACCAAATAAGTTGGCTAGCCAGCTAACTAAAGCTTGTTTGTCGATTCGCTATTTGACTACATAGCTTTCTTGTTTACTCCCACATTTGACGCTAGTAAACACATTGCTTGTAGTTTCATGCTTTTCATTCCCAGACATGATGAATAGCTGTTAGCTAGCTAGTTAGCTTCACTTGAATGATTTGGCTAGCAGCTAGCCTAGCTAACATTCATTCCGTCCATCGCATTTGGTTGTGTTTGTGTAGCCAACACTTTTCTATGGTTCTCCCAAACACTGTTTTTCAGCTGTTATTATCTGACATCATTTTTGTAACAAGCTCAGTTTTGAAACCTTGTTATTATCCCTGTGAATGGCCAAGGCTCTTACATGAATTCAAAATGTTTCTGTAGCACAAGACAATATGATATTTGAAGTATTCCACAGACACATGGCAGCAAATGTACCAGTACACCTTAATATTTTCTTTTTAACATACTTGCACATACACATGGTGGAGGTTAGCTGCCAGCTGCCTTGTGAAATACATACAAACCTGATGAAAGCTGCAACGTGAGAAATGCTCTCTGCTGGTGTTCACTGGCTAAAGGATTAACTTCCAGTCTGCAGCGAGTGACGTTGTATCGACTTTCAGTCACTGTGCTTTTCCACACTTCATATCTATCCACATACATTTCATATGCCCCACCCCGAGGCCCTGACTCAGCCCTTTCCACCTCTTCTTCGGCACCCTGTCACTCCTGATCACTAGTCCCTCGCTGCCGGTTTGGTGCAACCATAAATAAGCAACTGAGTGTATTGATTTCTGCTCTCCCCGCTCTCCCCCAGCTCTTCTCACGGTAACTGCAGCATATATCAAACACAGAACTAGATCATAAACATTTCTTCAGAACACAGTGCAGGAGTTAAAGACAGACTGGAGCAGAAATCTTTGGAGATTTCTATATAAACATGCAACTAAACATGTCTCACTTTCATGAGTTTATGCTTTAGGCATGTGCCTACACTGAACCATTTGTGCAGAGACACACACCTTACCAGCATGCATCCCTGATTAACATAAACACTCACAGACACCACAACCAAACACCCGAACCAACATGCCCTATACCCGAGGCAGGTATCAATCTGCACGCACTCATCATTTATTCACACAGAAAAAACCTATACACCACTACTTTGATTACTTTGCTGACTTTCTATTTATGCCAGTGTAGCCTCATTATTCATTGCATTCCTATGATTTTTCGCCTCTAGCTCTCTCACCACTCCCCCCCTTTTTTTTTCCACCTTCCCTCCCTTCATCTTCTGCATACTGTCGTGGTTCCCAGAGCTTTGCTATTTCAACTTGCCCTCCCTCCCCCATCCAACAAATTCCAGCTGCCACCATCAAAGAGCTTTGTGCAGACGCTGTATGCAAAGGAGGGCTCGGAACTACAGCCGGACTGGTTACGGAAAAAGAGTAAACTAGCACCTTGGAAATGCATGTTTTTAGGTTATATGTAACCGACATATAAAGACATGTGTAAAGTGTCCTTGGGTCCCGTGAAAGGTGCTATATAAATGCAAGCCATTATTATTATTATTATTATTATTATTATGTCTCTTGATGTCTCAGATTTTCATGGTTGGCAACATTTTCAACAACCTCATACAATTTTATAAAAGTAAATAAGTTCCTTATTCATGTATGTAAATAATTATTTACAGTGAAAGACAAACTTTTGAGACAAACTCTAACAGCTTGAGACTCAAACGCACACAGACAATGAAATGCTACCTCTTCATAAAGAATGGGGCTCTGCTGGTTAAGGTCAGAATGTACTGCATTTTTGTACAAGTTGTAAGTAAGCAGGTTGCTTACATGTCTGGTTGTTAGTTGAAGTGTGTCATAGTTGAGAGGATGTGCTGCAACACCTGGAGTCAAGCATTCTCAACTAATTCTCAACGTCTCTTTTTCATACTCATTTACTGACAATCATAATTCATATCTTGAATTTTTCAAATCTGATATCATAAGATTCTACATCGCTGCAAACTTTTGTTTTTCAGAGGACATAAAAGCGAAAGGAATTGTTCAAGTTGTAACTGGCTCACAAGCCAGGGGGCAACATCTTGACAGCTACATGTTGATCATGCATAGGCTGGTATATTTTTGTTTTAGGGCCTTACTTGCAGATTTCTGCACATACTAACCATCACAGAGTTTCGTTGATGAGAGGCTACATCATGCCTGTACTTGCCAGCTGCCATTAAATTATCAGCAGTTAAAAACCTGATTTTGTATGCCTGTGTGTGTGTGTGTGCACTCCTCCCGGCTGTCCATACATACTGTATCTGTGGTTCCTTGTGTGGTGTGTGTGCAGCTGAGACTGATAAACAGCTCTTCGCTTCATGTCCTGTGTTCATCAATCTATACAGAGGAGCTAGGAAACCACTTATCTTCCTTGATGTCAGCTTCAGCCATTACGGTTTAAAATCCATTAAAAAGCCTAAATAAAGCCCTCTTCCCCCAGCCCTTGTGCTAGCTGGTAAACAGCACTAAAAAGGTGCTGAGAAAGGTGCAGGCTTTATCGGTTATCGCACTGTCAAATATTTTACTGTCATGAGGAGTGCAAGGAAAATGAGGCTATGACGCTATGAATTACCACCTTTTCCAGCTCATTTGCAGATAGAGGTTAGTAATGAGGTTAATAACGCTTCCAAGGAGAGAAGAGGTATCTGTGAGGGAGGAGGTATGAGGAAACAAAAAGGGAATAGAGAGAGACTGCACATGGCAACAGTCAGAGAAAATAAATGTGTTATGATGGAAGACAAAACTGAAAGGCAGCCTTAGATCTTTGGCTGCGAAACTAAAATGCTTTTGAGAGTAAAATTCATTTGGTAAGTAAATTATGTCTAAAAGACAAATTGTGCGTGAAATATTGCCCTAAATGAAAACAGTCTCTGGAGATGTCCCTCAGGGTTCAGTGGTTTGTTACCATTAGGTAAAAAACAGCTATAACTGCTATGCATGCTATGAAAAGTTTTTGTCATGTTGTTGAAAGTTGATTCAGCTCAGACCAAACATTAACAATCTGTGCGTTATTATTTGATGGTGAATTGAATTCTCACTGACATAAACTTAGCTGTTAAATTTTGCTTTATTTAACACATAAAACTGAATAATCCCTGCCCCCATATATAGCCACTGTGAGTCTCAATTTAACCCAAATAGGAGGAATAAAATGAATTGTCACCTATTTCAGGATAAAGTTATTTATACATTTTATGACATGTCACCAGAAAGATTGAAGTACTGTCAGCAAGAAACTCTGAATGATGCTGCAGCACCCAGGCCAGATGATTCACATCACTTCCTGCACCAGCATCTGACTGTGTGTGTGTCAACCAGATGGAGAAATTGGCAGCACACACTGGCAGCGGGCCTGTCACTGTGCACATGTTGTATTGCTGCACCACAGGGCTCAATGCACATTCTGTTTTCTGCAACACACACTTGTCGAGGTGTTAATGTATTTGTTGGAGAAAGGATTGTTTGTCTTTCAAGAATCTGTACATTACGTGTAGATGAGATAGGGAGAAAAGATGAGGCAAAGTCTGGAAAAATCAAACAGGAATTGTATTATTTCGCAAATGTCCCATACACTTTATACCTAAACATACATATTTCCTTTTTGGAGGAAACTAAAAATAGAAAAGCTACTAACCGAGCTTTATAGTGGAGGTTAAATGTCATAAGGCCATGTGGAATTTGAGAGAGCCAGAAAGCGCGAGATGTGGGCCAGAAGAGAAGGGGAGAACGCAGTGAGACCGCAACAAGATACAAACAAGGGAAGGCAAACAGCTGATAAAAATAACAGCCAACATGCACATGCAGGTTCACTCATAAGTACACAAACGCACTCACAAAAAAACACACATGCACACACTGAACTTCCACCTTCAAAACAAAAACCGACAGAGAATATCAAAGTGCCATTGTGCAGCTCCTTGAATATGTCCTGCCTTTCCTCTGAGTAAAACAACAGGACCCAAGGCTTCACTTCCCCGTTCGCATTCGGCAGCACAGAATGACAAGTGCTCGCTCCATCTGATCCTCATGATTCCCATCAGTGTTATAGCTTTGAAGTCTAACAAGCACAAGCTGGTGTGTTTAACCATGCAGTGACCCAGTCAGCTTATTTAGGTCCCAACCATTTATTAACCTGAACTAATGATGTTAATCTCCTCTAATGCCATTACAGACCGTAGTATTTGCTTAGTTATGTCATATTAAGTTCAAGTGAGAGTAAATATAGATGGGCAGGGGTGTTTGGCTTACAGCACAGACACCTGCACACAGATTTCTCGAGTCACCTCTCTCCCTTTCTGCCTCTCTGGCTTTTTATTGTGGCTTATCCCGTCACACTGCCATCCGCGCTTCACTAGGGTGTCAGATGTTTTCACATGGGTCAAAGCAACATGTTAAATTCAGCTGCTGCCTATGGGGCCTCACAGAGAGTTGGAAGATCCTCATTTAAGATATGAGATGAAAAGGCTCCATTGCTGTATAACTGACACTCTGCTATACAATGTAAGCTTAAAGTGAGTTTCTAAAGAGAAATTAAATACTGGCATAATTTCTGATGTTTTACAGCATTTATTAACTTTCCATGGAGAGAGAACTGCATTTTTGTAATTGCAATTGTAAGGCTACAGCCATACTCTGATACTTTTTCATTTAAAAATAACATTTTGTAACAAAATTGATCTTTGTCATCACAAAGTAATGGTAACACACCTGAAAAAGTATATATCAGAATCAGAAGTACTTTATTAATCCCCGTAGGGAAATTAAAATATACATGACCATTTTCATACACTGGGCATGTGCATGCAGGTGTAAATATGTACTCTGCTTATGTAAAATACTACGAACGAGAACAGCAATGGTGAAAAGAAAAGCAAAGATAATTTAATAGTATGCATTTCTCTCCCCTGCCTTTCAAGGCTCCAACTTTACATAGCACTTTAGACATTCTATTCCACACAAGGCCCAGATTTTGTCTCTCAGAGCAAACACACCCACATCTCGTCTTTGAAGCCGATGAAACTGTAGATTGTGTGTGTGTGTGTGTGTGTGTGTGTGTGTGTGTACGAGCCAGACAGACCTAACCTCTGCACGGTTACCAATGGTTACCACCTCTGTGGCCAAAAAAGCACAGCCTCATGTAACAGGATCAATCTATGGGCCAGAGGAGCGAGTCCTCTTGAGACACACACAGGCAGATGCTCGGGGAGGGCTGGGGCGAGATGAAGCGTACGTGTGAAAGAACCGATGAAAAGACAAACGACTGCCTATATAATCACTCTGGTAAACCTTTAAATATATAGCAGCTTCTCCAAACGTCTGCTCTCGGTTTGTTATGCGGCTCGCCTGACAACAGACATAAAGATGCGGCAGAAACAGCACAACCAATAACACACAGGTAGGCTCCTTTCACTCCGTGCAGGTGAACAACGAAATGGTTTAATACAACCCCAAAAGCACAGGATGACTGTTTCTTACCCACTCTACAAGATTCAAGATTCACTGATTTCTGCAAGTGTAAAGTATAAACACAAGTGAAGAAACAGCTGTCATTATCTAAGGCTGTGCGGTGGTAAACTCGAGGAAGGCACAGTCTGCGTGTGTTTGATCAAGCTAACAGAGGTCGCTTCATGTTTACAGATGTTTTAAGGGTTTGTTGAGGAAGACAAGGGCTGCGTTTGAAGGAGGTGGGCCAGTCAGAATGTTTGATGGTTTAACCTCAAATGGTTATCAGTGGTTAGTCTGTGGGCTTATCAGAGAGGTAATGTAAATGCAAAGAGATAGTGACGTTTGCTACGGTTTGTGAGCAAACACAAAGTCAAAAGACCTGAGGGCAAAGGCTCAGAGCTCAGAACTCTATTTAGAGTTTGAACAATTTAAAGTCAGGAGCAGACACACTCATCTGTTTAACACTAGAGCTTTTGCTACAACAAGAATATTGTCAAATTGATAAAATAATGATATAATGAGCAGCCCCGATGTTACACACATAACTGATGGACCTTCTTTAATCTAGTTTTCATGTAAATTACAGAGGCCAAAATCTTAGCAGGACACAATCTTTGATTCTCAATCATCGTCATCAAACTAACTTTTTTGCAATGAGAATGGATACAATCGTCATTCACTTCCAGGTCAAATGACTCTGCAGTAGACACAGGTTTTAATCAGCTCCTGCTCTGAGCGGCTGTGATGGAAGCATGACACGCCGGTGAATGTGCTAATTTGCCAAGACAGTGAAGTGAGAGAACGCCTCAGCTCTTCGCTCGTACCTGACATCGGACATGATGCATCAAACTCCTCTATTGGCGATGGGAAGGGAGTCAATTGTCCTTTTTTATCTGGTTCAGCCACGTTTAAAATACTTGCATACACCCACTTATTTTAGTGTATATGAGGTATAACAAACAAGATCTTTTACTTAACTATGTTTGCTGTCTCCCCTCTTACCAAAACAAGACTGACAGGCATAGACTGAATGACTGACCTTTTTATTCTCTGATCGCTGGATTTTAGAGAGTTGCAGATTGTATAAGTGACCCCAGTGATCAACAACCATGAAAACAATCTACCTTCGATCGTTGGATTGAGTGTGAAGCTGTAACATTCATCAGTCAACATGTTAATGATGGTAATGATGCTCCCCTGAATACCCCCTCAAAAGAAGACGGGATGAGATGAGGTGATTTGGCATTCTTCAGCTGATGCCAAAAAAGATATTTCCAACAAAAAGGGAATTGGCAAACAGTTATTACACCATAAAAATATGGCAAAATCACTAATGAAAACATGACCACTTGCCAGCTTGCACAATTCAAATGTGTCCTATCACCCATCAGTAAAAAGGTGCGAGGGTGAATGTGTGACTGCATCTACATTCTAACCATGATATGCATATTGTTATACACTCTGCACGCTCCAGGAAAAACCCTGCACGTTATGAAATGTCAGGTTTTGGATATTTAAGTTGCAAAACTCAAAAAGAAAAACAGAGAAATAATGTGTCCACTGTTAGCTTAAAGGTTCAGTGTGTAAGATTTAGGTGAAAGTAATTTTTGACAGAAATTAAATATAAAATAATCTGAGTGATGTTTTCACTGGTGTGTTTCATCTAAATTCAGTGAATTGTTGTTTTCTTTACCATAGAATGGGCCCTTTATATTTAAAAACTGTATATTTACATGGAGGGGGGGTCCTCTCTGTGGAGGCCGCCATGTTTTTTTACTGTCGTCCAAACTGGACAAACTAAAACCTTTTGAGTTTTCATGACAACTGAAGTTCACCACAGGTTCTCTTACATGTTTGGAAGTGGAGGGTGAGATGAGGAGTATTCAGCTGCAATATGCAACTTCATCTCTAAATATCACTAAATTGTACACACTGAACCTTTAAATGCCATTCAGTGTGTCATAGCGTTTCCATAACTATATAAACTAGATGCACTCAAATGAATCATCAGTACAGGAAGTTGGTACCAATACAAAAGAAAGGTACTGAAGGTACTGAAGGTACTTTATTTAGAGCTCAGATTACACAGGGCCAAGTTTCCCCAAGGGTTTAAGCAGGTAACAGGTGCTGCAGCTGTCTGAGAAGCCGTCCACACATGGTTTGGAGATCTCTCAGGTCTCTGTCTGACGCTGTCTGTCAACTGTTAACGGCAACGAGCAGATGTGCCTAAGAATAAACTGGCGAGACAGTGAGTTACAACACTGTACGTACAAAGGATGACAAACTGTGTTGTCAAATGTTTTCAGTGTCATTAACTGACTCTGCATTTTAATGTTGCCTTAAAAAGAAAGAAAGAATAGAAGAGAATAGAAAAATGGGAACATTTTAAAAAGATGAGTGGTTTAATTTTTTTTTATATTCAAGGGAAGAAAGAAACAATAGAATAGAATAGAAAAATCAATAACTATTACTGTATTTAAAAAGTGTGATTTTATTTCATTTGTATTCAAGGATGACAAACTGTGAGCCTAACAACGTTCAAAGATAATCAAAAAGAGAAGAGAAAAAAACTCAAAAATATCCGAAAAATCTAGTGAATCAAATTATATCAATAAAAATTGTGATGTATATATATGGACAAAACTGCAAGTACAATCTTTCTGCACTATAATCTTTACCGGCAATGTCTCAACTCTCATTTCTCCGAAAATTAATTTCTAAAATCTTCAGTAAAACAGCAGCGAGGGTCTGAACAGAAAATGGTTTCTTATCTGTCTCTCAGAAACAGATAATGGAGACACGTGCAGACAAAGTCAACAGCTCCTCTATGAGAGTTTCCCTAAATCATTTGCTGTTCTCACAAAGGTAAACTTTAGATAAACAAGAAGTGTCTTGGCCAAAGTTGCAGGGGTCGCACACTTTCACCCCGTTCAAGCTGCAGTTGCTTCATCCGGGTAGCAGAAGTTGCACACTCATTACCATCTTTCAGTCAATCCTGTGTTTGTGACTGGAAATGGTGCCGTTAAAGACAACATAATTAATTTTAAAAGCCTTATCTTGGAGAGGAGGGGGAAGATCGGCCTGTTTGCTCAGCCGACACATTCTTTCACCTAATTATTTCAAATGGCTCTGTGACAGCTGGATTAGCTGGCTGAACATCCTGCATCATCCTGTCCCTGGACTTTGATAGAGAAGTCCCAGCCATATATTTACCCTGGCTCTATTGATCAAAACCTGTTTGACAAGCCAAACCAGGAAAGTGCTGCATTTGCTCAATGCTGGACCTCATGTCTCTGAGCAAACAAAGCATTCTGCACCTGATGTCTGACATAAGACGCAAGTGTCAACAGCAAACCTGACTTGCATCTGTTAATGTTCGATACGATAAGCTGCATGTAGAGATTGTCTTAAAAATATATTTGTTTTTTCTTATTTGTCCTCAAAACAAGAAGTGAAAAAAACACATCAATAACCCACCTGATGTTGTCATGTGGTCCCGGTCCAAAAGAAACGCCGAAGCTGGAGTCGACGGCCAGTCCAGGCAGGAAATTAGGAGAAGGATCAGGAGGTGAGAGGAGGGTGAGGAGACAGCCATGATGCTGGAGACAGAGAGAGGGGCAGAGACACTGTGATTATAATTATCAGCTGGACGCCATGATGACATACCCATGTTAAAAAAACCCTCCTTCCTTCCCTCCCCCGTTTACTCCCTTTCTTTCTCTCTGCCCTATGAGGACAACCGTGGACGGCTGCCATTTATTTTCAGCTGGTGTCTGTGAAATCCAACACGAGACAGGGCATAGTTAATTATTGCCCCAGGTTGCTGCTGTGGCAGTTGGAGATGAAATGTATGCAGCATATTTTTCTCTGTTAATGTGCTGTTTGTCTTTGTAAAACTTTTCGCTCTAAATTTGACAAAAGAAAATCCCAATAACATTTCTCAAGCTTAAGCCTATTCATAATAATTTTGTCATTAGCTGTGATTTTATACAGAAATACATACTGTGGGTTCAGATATCACAGAAAGAAATGCAATTTAAAACATCTGCAAAAAGTCGCACAGAAGCTTCTTTTAGACATGAACTGAACTTCGGATATATTTTCCAGAGGGGCTGTATGTGAGAATGCAAATGTCAGAGTTCTTGCTCCAGACAATTTACAAGATCTTCTCCTGCCCACAAGTAAAATGTCCGAAAAATTCACAGCAAGCATGCGGGTGTTCCTGAACTGTCCTGTTGTTGTGAACACGTCTGACTCGAGCAATTTTTCTGCTGAGTTCTTCATATGTGAAAGGCAAAGTCCGGAAAATGTCCATACCCAATTTCCTGACATTTTCTGGAGTTCATGTATGAAAACAGTGTTACATAACCACTCACTGCCTCATATAAGGTAAAATTATATCTGTATTTTTTTGTCCTTTTTGTTGCAGCAGTTTGCACTTCAGTTGCAGTTGATATGGTAAAACTATTAAGCTGCTTTCAGACATGCACTCCGTATTTTCTTCACAAGAGGTGCATGTGTGAAAACAAATGTCCTAATGAGATGCTCCGCAGTTTCTACGGATTTTATCTGCCTGACCTCCTGGTATAAAGTCCGTAGAAATCCAGGAGAAGTCAATGTGTGAACACAGTGGGAGATCCCGGGCTGGATTCCCCGCAAGTTTAGGACACTTCTAACACACGACAGATGCAAAATGAAAAAAATAAAACAAATATCTGAGTGAAAAAGCTATTCCACACACATAGAAGACACAAACGAAGATGTCAAGAAAGTTTCTGGTGATAAAAGCTGACGACAGTGTCGGGGTGCTGTAAACGTTATGAGGCGATCTCCGCATCAGATTGAATATGTCACTTCCTGCCTCTATCTGCTGCACCCGACTGCTCCACCTCTCACCTGAATAAGGAGCATTTGTTGCTGTTGTGACCGCGTCTGTGCAGAGAACTTCCCGCTGTGTTGTGCATGTGTGAAAGACAAACTCTGGGTAAACTCCGTAGCCAATTCTACCCGAAGGTCATGTCTGAAAACGGCCTTAGCAAACTGTTGCTTATCTACACATCCAGGAGATACATTAACAGTAGCATAGATTAGCAGTCATTCTGATCACCTTATGTATGCTCACTCTTCTTTCAGCTCTGTTTTTCGGTTTCCACCAACTTCTGAAGGAAATGATGCTCTGTAGCACCTAAATCTTTTATCACGTTCATTAGCTAGGTGCTAACTTTGTCAGTTTGAGCTGAAGTACAGTAAAATACCCTTGAAGGGAACTGCACAGTCAGCAATATCTGTGGGTTTATTATTACAGCAGCTTTAAGCTTTCTCATAAAACCAATTTCACATAAAGCCTGGGACACATAACTTGTGCGTAGCAGTCGCAGAACCTTTTGGTTTTCATTTCCACACCCATGTTGACAGGTTAGAGCAGCTACTCTGCATAAATGAGCCTCACCTCGCTACTGTCACACACCATCACTTCATAGTTCATAAGAGACACCTGTTCAGTTCAGTGAGGTAGACGTCACGCATACCAGGTAGGCAGTATGGCCCAGGCTAACAAAGCAGTAGTAGCTATTGCATTTTAGTGTTGTTATCACATTGTTTAACAAAATACAGGATAATCATTCCCCCCCCCGACACCTTTAAACAAGAGATGTGGTGACTGTCTCTCTCATCCAGGCTTTCTCTGGAGATTCTTCTCACAGTATATGTTTGGTCGAACAGAAAAACCCAGACAAACCCTTCCTCCAATGCACTGGTGTTGGCGGAGAAGTTCTGCAAGTCAAGTCCGACCTCTAAATATAGGCCCAACTTTCTGTCCACACCCTTGGCTATTTACAGCTGTGTCTCCACAACCTTGCTGGGCAGCCAACAAGCCCAAACGGGGGAGGCTGAGTTTCTGAGGGCAACAGTGCCATTATTTTTACCCAATTCTGGTGTGACCTGAGGACCATACAGCATAACTCAGATAAGATAAGATAGACTTAATCATCCCACACTGGGGAAATTTGGACATCACAGCAGCAGAAGGGCATTAAGATAGAGACTACAGTGTGCAATACAGCATACCAAGTTCTCCTTTATGTATTTACTCGTAAAACTATAGGGTTAGGGTGAGAATAGAAGCAAAAAGACAAATCCCGGATATATTTACTTATATAGAGTGACAACTACTGAGCAGCTGTGTCAATACCTCAGGCACATTTTAAAAACCAACAAGATTGGATTGAGCCTGGCAAGACTTAGTGGGAGGTAAATGCCAGGACAAAGTTTATATGAGTGTTCAACATGTTGGAACTTTTGCAGCATTTTGCAACATCAACATATAAAAGTTAAATTTTCATCATCAATATAAACATTCAGTGGTCTGTCTGTGTGTGTGTGTGTTTGTGTGTGTGTGTGTGTTTGTGTGCACATTCCAAGTGTCCAGAGGCCACACATGCCCGAGTTATACGAAGCAAGAATTCATGGCAGGGAGCTGTCAGGCAGCAAGCTCATTTGGCCTGAACTAAAAAGCGCCATTTAAAATCAATCATGTACAATTGTCAATCCTTTTCTTCAACTGATATTTCAGACTATTACTCCAGCTCGCTTCATGTCTGACTATCTTCTATTCTGAAATCATAATTGAAAACATTAATTTTTTCCCTCCTCATCAAAAGCTGAAGCCCCATTATTATGGTGAATTCAACATCGCTTTAATGAGCACTTTAAAATCGTTCCTCTCTTTTTTTTCCTGCACATTGTCTTTTCTTTCAGAGCGTAACATTCTTTAATCAGTTGAGGAACCAAAGTGCTATAAAAGAGGGCCAAACAGCCCCTCCATTCCAACATGTGGCCTCATGTTAATCCCAACATTAGTCTTCCCCTCTCTCTCTCTCTCTCTCTCTCTCACTCTGTGAAAGCCCTGGCAGGCCTGGTGCTTCTTCTCCAACTCGTGCACATTTCTCCCCCATTCCTCTTCTTCTCCGGGGCCAATTACAGGCTCCCAGACTCGCGGGAAGGCTGCCTGAGCCAATCAGAAAAGAGGGAGGCTCAGCCCAAGCCTCCTGGGGTCCCTTGGTAAACATTTAAGGCATCTGTGGTCAACCTCCCTCCCACTACCTCTGCCCCAAAAACACACACACACACACACAAACACACACACATTTAACATGAGGGCATTACACATACAAACACACGCACATACAAATGGCAGCCCACTGCCAGCACCAGGGTTTTCTCCCATGTTTCCTCAAATCTCTATTAGTCATCTGTGTTTGTTCAAAAGGATCTGCCAGGCAAGGGAGGTTAAAGACCAGGGGGGAGGGTGGCGGTGTGACGGTGAAGCCAGGGAAAAAAATTAAGTTTAAGGAGTGAGAGGTCACATCATGTCTGTATTAGTCCCTTCTATAGCTGCAGGAGAAAAGTATGCACACACACACACACGAAGCAATTTTGCGAGCAAAAATTCTTCTGAGGTTCCACCAAAGAAAAAGCAGAAATGGTGCAGTGTATGCGCTGAAATATCATGTCTTCATGACTCAGTCACCATTTTTGTAAACATGACCCAACTCACAGTCATGTCCTTATTGACCTTATTCCTGTTTTTTGGATAAGACTGGATCCAGGGAGGTAAAAGTTCAAATTTATGAGGAGAGGGGAGTGGCCTTGAGAAACAGACTTTCCTTTTTCTAAACTATTGGTGCAGGGTCATTACAGGGGAGAAAACATAACCAAGAGGAAAAATGTGAAGACCATGAACATTATCAGATTTAGTTACATGGTAATAAAACATTCAGATTTGTGAGATTCATCCACACAGACACAGTTACAGTTATTTAATATATCAATTGTTATTGTGGAAGAAATATTCCTGAAGACAGTATTTATTGAAATGTTGCATTAAATGTTCTTTTTTAGCAAGTATAGACAGTGTTTAGGAACTTACACTTATAATTAGGAAAGTAAAGAAACAGGACATGCTCATTGAACAAAGACATATCTGAAGTCATATCTGAAATATGTTCTAACTTACTGCTGTACTTGGAGTGATTTGGTAATTGGCTGACACATGCTTCAGAGACATTGTTTGACAAGATCAACTCTAAATGGCATAAATGTCTATGGACAATAAACCAAGAGACATTTTTAAAGTTACATTTTTCTCTTTCTGAAGTACAGAAATGTCTGCTTTTCTTGTTCAGTAGTACTGTTGGACCATTTCAAGAGGTATTGCAGGTTTTAAAGATTCCAGAGATTAAGGTAAACAGTTTGTATATGAACCACATTTTTTCTTTTTTGAGGTGCCCATGAGGAAAGTGATCCGGATGCATGGATTAATTCATGGATCTGTCCTTAGTGACCTTAAAGGCATACATTACATTTTTTCACAATTTTTACTAGTAGTTCTTTAGAGCAAGCAACCGGGGGTCCATATTTTCTTAATGCCATTAATGAGGAGAAACATTGAAATAGACAAAGGTGATGCAATACACAGCATTGTAAAACCAATGCATATATGCCTGGTATCCTATAGTTGTTTAATTAAATAGTTGTATCACATATAATTATCATAGAACATTTTAGGCCTATTCTTTTAAAAATAGCAGAAATATCAATTTTAACAGACTTACTTTGTACTTTTATCTTTTTCTAATTTTTAATTTTACACAAGTAATTTCACTTCTACTTAGGTAAAGATTATTTTAGCCATTGATTTTATCTTTGCACTGGTTTGAAAAAAAAGTAATTTTCTAGTAGTATTTCCCTGCAGAGTGTTGAATAATCTAACCTTACAACATACATTCATTAATACAATTATACAAATGCACAATATACAGCCATGCACAAACATAAAAGCACACAGGAAAATGAGGTCTCCCTAAAATGGGATAATGACCACATGCTGGGATGGACTGAAGCTACAAGGACAACGGATTGTTGGCTTTAACCTGTGTGACACCCTCATCTGAAACCGGCACACACACCCTCATTAAGACAGAAGACAGGAGTTCAGCTGATAATTGGTAACTTTGCCTGAGTCAAGTGATTGGTCCAGATGAAAGATAGTGAAGTCCAGACAGAGTTTGACATCAGAGGTCATTTGTAAATGTGGCACTGTCGGTAAAAACAACACAGACAAGACCCCTAAAGTAAATAATAAAACGGATGTGTAAAAGGAAAAGCTTGCTCTGTGTTTTGCTGCATCTTCAGATGGATAATGCTAGTTGATGACATCTCTCTCCATGTGTATGTACACAAATGCAAAATAGGAAACAGACAAAAAGATTACACATATGTCTGGGTGAAAAAGCGGTGCCAAACGAGATGTCAACTCACTGTAACGGGCCGATGCCGGTGTTGATTAGCTGTACACAATTTCTAAATGCTCTACCAAGACGACACCTGTTGTTGTGAACGTGTCATACTTGTACAATGTTCACATGTGAAAGACAAAGTCTGAAAATGGCTTTGTAGGAAAATTACTTACACACAAGTGTAAACAAAACACTCCTCAAGTTTTTAAAAGCATTAACTGTAATATGAATGAAATGCATCCCATTAGTTCTTTCCTGATCTTCACTGACTGTCACCATCAATTCTTTCTTCTGTCCTTTCTTTGGCACCTCTCATTCAGTGCTCCAAGCTTATCTCACTGGGCCTGTTGAGGGCTGCAGCAGCATTAAAGAAAGATGTGAATCAATCTGGGTTTACCTTGTTAATTACTATGAAACCAGTGACTGAATTAGCAGCCAAACCTGCATTGCTAAATCCCAAGGTATTCAGGGTCTGATAGCCTGCAACCAAAGGCAATCAACTATCCTGGAAGCAAGCCCATATGAATAAAGCCTGAATTTGTGACACCACAAAGCATCTTTAATGGGAGCGGGGGACCACAGTGGGTGAGTAGGAACAAGCACTTTGGGTAAAATGTGCTAACGTGGTGAAGCCAGGATTAGGCTCCAACAAGAAAACATGCAAATGAAATATAACTACTCACAAAAACTTACCAAGAGGATTTATGTTTAACCATTGTGCTTTTTTTTTCAGCCAACTCTAAACTGCCAGCTCCTCCATGTTGTCAGTTTGTGAAACGTGTTAAGCACTCCTGATAAATGGTAAACGGTCTGTATTTATATAGCACTTTTCCAGTGCCACTCAAAGCGCTTCACATTTACCCACAGTTTTTTGCTCTTTACCCATTCACACACAAATTCATACAGTGCATCTTTGTGCAACACTTTCTCTATCATACATAACTCACACACTGTTGGTCCTGCGGGGCGATTAGGGGTTCTGTATTTTGTCCAAGGCAAGCAAAATAAGGGGATCGAACAGCTTCATCAGAAATGTTTTACTCCCTGACATTAGTATCGGCCCCCAAAAATAAGAAAAAACAACTGGATCTGTGACAAAATGAGAAGTTGTTATTTATCTTGATGATATACAGAACTAGACAAACGTATACAGTCGTGTAAATGTTGACATTTTTAAAGCAAAATCACATCATGCCTTTCACATACTGAGTATCCATAGACTTCCAAACATGAATTAACTGGAATCACTCTGCCTCAGTGAGGTGGTACTTTACTTAATGTCTTCGACAGTGGTTGTCAATGGGCGGAAATTATCATATCTTGATGTTATTAACACACACACACACACACACACACACAC